TGGTTTCATTGCTCTGCTGTTCAGCAGCAGCAGGAACATATGGAGGTTAGGTGTCCTCCTGATTCAATTTTATTGTATTATTTTTTTGTTGTTCGTTTATTTAATGCACGTTTGAAAAATTAACAAAAAACAAATTAGGAAAATTGATTTATTGTTTTATTTTATTTAAAATATTTTCATTTATAAGTTTCATCGTTGTTCCAAATTTTCTGATATTTGTATCAAATGTGGAACAAAAGAGTATCATATAGCGAACAGAAAATTGGCTCCATGCAAATGTATTTGTGCATGAACGAAAAGAATTCATGTTTATTCAATTCGAGACTGTATAGCGAGAATAGTTGTATTGGTATTTTGACAGTTGAAACTTGAAAGACAGATTTTTTTGTTTACATACGATATAGAGAATAATTTAATCAGTGAAAGAGAAATGTATTTATTACAAATTATATTCAATGTTCTTCAACTAATAAAGCGGACAATTTTTCGTTTCTAATTATTTCAAAGATATCGGCGTTTAAATAAATCAAGAGAATGTCCTTTAGTAAGCCGCTTGATAATAAACCACGTCGTGGTGAAAAAATAAATTCAAGGGCAGAAAAGTCCCGCTCGATCTGCACTTCAGTTGGTGGTATTGCAAAAATCACGCTGGCAATTTGATAGAGTTCTGGATGGTTTTCCTTTTCAGTTTCCCAAAAGTTTAGTATGGAGTCTTCCAACTGCAATGGTTTCGGTTTAAATTCTTCGATTATTTTGCGAATATCATGTCCAGTGTTGTTCTGCTGCGTTTGTGTCAATTCAAAAGATGCATTTGGTGTAGAGGAACATGAATCAGAATTTCGATTCAAATAGTGTTGAAGCCTATCTGGGCTATCAAATTCAATGTCACTAGACTGATTGGTTGACGTCACTTGTATGTGTGTTTGGTTTAATGCATTTGATATTACTTGAATGCGGTGATACATGTTTATCAAAAATTCAACGGCTTGGGAACGTTTGTGTACGTCTCGCGTAACTTCACTACGAAAACGAGGATCAAGATACAATGCAGATAAAAGAACTGGATTTTCGAAAATGGTCTTTTGTCGAATCTTCATTGCATCGTACAAACATTGGCCAAAATCTGTATTACACTTTCTTATAACAGCCTTTAGATAAAGGCGCATCTTTGTCCATATACCATATGTATCAGAAAGAGTCAAATCCTTCTTTTGTAGTTCGATTGTTCTTTTGAATGGATCTTTCAACACCAAAATCAATTCACACAAATCTAACCATTTTTTTAAAAGTAGTTGACACAATTTGTTGCCATCAAAGAACTCAACACTGGCTTTCCGATCTGTCACATCAGACATCTATTAGAACAGTGATATAAAAACATAATTCAATTAAAAAACATACCATCAAGTATAATGAGCCCCATCTTGTTGGTAACTCAAGGCGCGGTTTAGTATAAGTGATTCCGGCCTTTTTAAGTTGATTGAACGTTGAATCTAAGCGAAGAAATATGGCCACTTTTCGACACAATTCAATGACGTTTTGATTTGATTTCGAAGTTGATTTAATGGAATCATGTATGCCCAATTGAAGCTTGTGTGCGGCACAATTTATGCCGTTTATGTCCCAAATGACATCGATGCCATGAGAATTTCTCATATTTTCACTTATTGCGGTTAAGAGTGTTTGGTTGTCTCGAAGAGTACTTTCAACTGGTTGTTCAGAATCACCAAACAATATGGCCAACGCTTCTTCATCGGCCATTCCATCATAGATAGCCAAATGTGCTTCAATTTCCTGATCAACATCAACTTCATTCATATTGGTACTATCTTTTGCAGTTGCAGTTACTTCATTGGCCAAATTTTCATTGTTTCTTTGATCAATTCTATGTTGTAAATGCTCCTCTATGTCTTTAATCATCTTCAAAACATTGGCACCATTATCCGTTGTGACCGTTAATATTTGCTTTAAATCAATGTCAAATTCACTCAACTGTTTGCAAATTACGTCAGCCAAATAAATACCAGTGTGGGATTCTTCGAGTTCGATTACACCAATCGACAGAGTCGTATGTTTTCCATTTGCGATGTACTGAATGCCAAAGCCCACAAATGAACGGCCTCGCTTAGAAACAATATCAACTAACAATGATAATCCGCGATTTTTAACTTCAAAGGCAATCTTGTTCCGAGTATTTTGTGCAACATCTCGTAAGAGATCTTTCACTTCAAACAAATGTTTGTCATGTAATTCAAGTTCGCGGCCTGAATTGCGAAGTTCTTCCAAAATTTGCTTGTTCATTCGTAGAATAGCCGAATCGTAAATATTACTAAATGGTCTACCATTTATGGTGACAAGTTCAACACATTGTAATAATAAATCAAGCCGTTTGTATTCAATTGAACCAGCAACACTACATAAAACAAACATAATAATTATTAGGATGTAATCCTAATAACATTATTATGATTTTATCATGATAAGTTAATAAAATCATAATAACGTTACTAGGATCCGATCCTAATAACGATATAGAACATAATAATTATCATCCAAATAAAAATTTATTACGATATCGCAAAATGCAAAACTATAGAATGCATTTATATTTCTTTTTACCCTCTTGAGTCTCTCGCAAAAATTCAAAATGTTGAAGTGATGCCTTTGTTCTATTAATTTTTCGCTTTTTCCTTGGGGGTTCCATTTTACACTGAATGAAATCAACGGAAATCAATAACTTTGAATTTTACTTAAAATGATGAGATCACAAGGCTTACTGATTTAACCCTCCTAGGTATAGAGGCGGTCCATTGGACCGAAATTTTTGGAAAAATTGAATAAAAATCGAAGTAAATTAAAAAAATTCAAAATTTTTCGGGCAGATATAATTCATGTACATACTGTTTCTATCATAAAATAATTGTATATGTTGTGGACATTTGATAAAACCAAATCTCACCTAGAACGTATAGTGGCGGTCCATTGGACCGCCCATACAAAATGCATGAAAACCTCATATAAACAGTAAAAAATAAAACAATTCAAAACTATAAACAGTGCACATTCTGAATTTTGCGTTATAAAACGGTGCATATAGAGTAGATTCAGCAATGTAGCAAAAAATAAAAAAGAAAGAATTTGTGTATATGTGTATATAAGCTAAAAAACACAAACATGATTCGTTCGCTGTCGATCAAAAGTGTGGTTTCTGAAGATGAAATCAACACATTTTATAACAGCACAAAAGGTGGCGTTGATCATTCAGATCAACTGTGTCATAGCTATTCATGTCAACGAGGCAAAAATCGTTGGCCTTTCTTCATGAACTTGATCAATGTATGTGGACTTTACATTGTGGAGTCGCTGCGTTCATTATTTATAATCCAAGACATGGAATTACACGAGATCGGTATTCATTTCAACGCAAGAAACTTTTGATCGAATTATCGGAAGCATTGGTGTATGATCAAATAGCACGCAGATCCACTTATGGATTTAATAAAGCGCATCGAGCTGTACTCAGCACAGTTCAACAGCACCATCCACTCCAACAACGCAAACCAAACAAGATAAAAAAGTGCATGTCATTTATGTCCCACTAAAATCAATCGAAAGACGCGAACATAGTGCAGCAAATGTATGCAAAATGTTTGTGGAGAACATTCCGTATATATTTGGCGTTTGCCATTTCAGCGGTCTTCCGTGTTTTTCATACAAGCTTTCCACATAGATGGTATAAAAAATCGCGAAAAATGAACCAATTACGGATCAATTGGATCCACAAACATTTGGTGATGAAGTGCCAGCAACAGAAGAGACAAATGAAATTGAACCGGCTCAAGGTGAAGTCGAAGATCCTGTTGTGCAGCATCAAGTATCACGCAAGGGTGTGTTTACCGTAAGAGTTGATGACGATGTGGAATACACTTACTCCTCAATAGAACAATTTCAACCGGCTACAATCATCAACGGTTATGAAATTAAATCACATGACATGTTGTCCAACAACTTGCCATTTAAGAAACATGTAAGTTAAAGAAAAAATTGAGTATAAATTGTGTGCCATTTAAGAAAAAATGGTTTATCAACAAACTTTTTTTAAATTCAAAGGAAAGCGGGGATCGTGGATATATTGTAAAACTTCAAGGCAAAATGACTCAAATACAGTTATCGGCACGTGCTGTCAACGGTTTGATCAAATTTAATACGGAACGGCGCAACGATGTTGGCATCGATAAAAAATTTCTGAAGGCTTTACTCATCGGCATATGTACACTCAAGCGCATAAAAGAATCAGTGTCGATGTTTGATATCGACAATGCTTTTCTGGGACTCGTCAAGGGTAAAATTGTATTTATAAAAGAGGTAAAAAAGTGAATACATTGATTTTTTTATTTATTAGATATGTTTGCTTTTAGTGTAGCAGACGACGAAAATAATGGACAGCGTTTGGCTTCATTTGAACAATTGGTTGAACAGATTTGCACCGAAATCCGAAACAACGTACTTTGAAATTTCGTTTGATTAAACATCAATTTCAGTATTTATTAAAACCAACATTTATTTTTGATTTTTGAATTGATTAGGGACGAATTTTAACATTTAATGTTATTTATAAAAAACACATTTCACTTTCTTCAATGAATAAAATTTTCTCTATATCGTATGTAAACAAAAAAAATCTGTCTTTCAAGTTTCAACTGTCAAAATACCAATACAATTATTTTCGCTATACAGTCTCGAATTGAACAAACATGAATTCTTTTCGCTCATGTTTACACATATATTTGTGAGTTTAGAAAACAGCAAAAACAACAAAGAAAAGTAACGAATTAATTGCTTTTAGAGGAGACATAAATATTTTAATATTTTTAGAGAGTATATGTTAAACTCATACACATAAATACAAGTATACAACCAAAACCAAATTATAAACGAAATGAGAAACGCAAGGGCGACCGCATCACACAGAACTGCTATGAAGCGATAAACAGCAGATCTGTGTGTTACGGTGACTCTTGCGTTTCTCATATCTGGATACAGTATCGCATTCAGCTATCTTACGGATGCTGAAAGCGATATCGCAAACACTGATTCTAACAGCAGTGCAATGACGTTTCATGTGTACGTTGTGTATTAAATTTGTTAGGAATAAAGCGTTCGTCGTATATTGCGGATTGAAACAATTTATTCGATATTTATTAAATTAAATTCGTTATTTTCCATTTTTTAACAATAAAATATCTCATCCTAAATATACTGCGATCGCTTTATGCCTAGCAAATGTAATACACAACGTACACATGAAACGTCATTGCACTGCTGTTAGAATTTACGTAAGTGTGTATTTACTATGGATTATTAGCGATATGTGCATTCCTCCATTGAAATAAGAAGAGCCCAACGCCATCTAGGAATGAATGGAATACTTGTGACTGTCACGACAATTGACTTGAGAAGAAAACCCTGGTCACTGGCCCTGTACGGAGGCTAGTTACATGGCTGCTATAAAGTGGGCCACACCGTGGGAAGCATTCTCCAAGCAATCGAGTGACAGCACAAGTCGGGTCGTCATGCAATAAGTTACGAAAACTTGAGCATCGAAGTGAATAACTCCCCGTTTAATCCAATAATCGAAATACTATGGATTAATATGGATTACTACTCACAACATAGAATTACTTTAAACAAAAATTATTATTCTAGTACTGCTCTGCCCCTAGGAAAGACTAGTCAGAATTTTTTGTATGACGGTGTCACATAAATTCTTAGGAGAAGTCTCACATTCATTCTCGTATATTCAAACATACTTTGCCTATTTTCGAATTAGTATGGAAAGCATAATAGAAATTAATGAAACTAGCAAAGTAATCATTCCATTAGAGTTCTCTTGGTTAATAAATATCATTTGTTCTGTGGTAACCATTTGTATAGCAAATAGATACACTTTATACATTGCGTAAAGTTGCGTACTGGC